TGAATAACCACACGCCCGTCCCCCGTCCCCCGTCCTCCGTCCACCAATCAGTTAGCTCTTGCATGAAAATGGCATAACAAAATTCTCGAATGGACTCGAAAGGAATATAGTTAGCTGGGTGGTTTACAAGATGGACAGGGGCTAGGCAGTTAGGGGACTGCAAGTCGGTGCAGCCGGCTCAACTGGCAGCGCAGCAAAATATTTATTTGTCTCTTGCCAAAAACTAAAAAAGAAAAGAGAAACGCAGCAAAGCAAAAAACAGCAATAGACAAAAGAATCACTTGCGATTTAGGCCATATTGACAAACAGATGCTGCAAAACCTACAGCAGAAGGCTTTCAAGCTTGAAAGGGTAAGGCAGATCCGTACAATTGAGAATGACACATGAAAACTGTATGAATAGTGCATTAATGGAAAATACAATCTAAGTGACATACCCTATCAGAAATTATTCAACAAACTTCCAAAGTGTGAATGACGCTCAAATAATGCACGTTGAGCGACACAATTGGAATACCAATAAGTAAGTTAGAAAATTGCCTTGTCGGTCCTGGCGCAGGTCGGTCTGTAGGAGTGCAGGAGTGTACCGTAATTAGCGTCGCAGTTCTCTAATAAAACAGCTTAAGATCGCACAAAACTTGCGCAGCAGTCAGCAACCGAAATTAATGAGTTCGTTCGCTGGCAATCGCGATGAAAGCCACAGCTTGGCAAAAAAAATCAGTAGACAAAAACCAAATGAAGAAAAACTGATAAGCAGGCGAGATAACCGACGGATAAATGAGCGCTCATTAGCTGTAGTTGAAGCTGGAGCAGACCAGTTGGCTATATAAAGTCGCCATGAAACCTGAATGTGACATACAGCTTACAAGCGGCAGTTGAGCAGTTGAGCAGTAAGCAGCAGGCAGTAAGCATAAGCCAAATGATGCAAGTGCAAGTGAGACACTCTTTGATGCTGACACTGATCAGCGGCCTCCTCCTTAGTTTGCACGGCAGCTGGGCGGCCAGTATGGGTCGACAGCGACGCGTCCAGACGAGTGCCACCACAACGGGCCACGCTCCGCCCTCGATCTTTGGACCCCACCTATGGTACGCCACGTTCAATACGAAAGATGAGTATGTGGAGACACCCTTCACACGCCGTGCTGCAAGCCGACAGCAGCCCAAGCACCTTGCCTCCAATATCTATGCAGAGGAGCTGGGGTCCGGGTCAGAGTCTGCACGCAGCTCGAGCCCCTCCAACGTAGCTTATGGGGACGTGGAACCGACATCTGAATTAACACCTGCTCAAGTGCAGCAGCTGTTGCTGTTCAATACGCCACGATACTTCAGTCCGAGTGCGAGCAGCAGAGTGGGCATGCAGGATTTAGAGCCACGCTTCTTTCATCTGAATATGATGGGCTTCAATCCTTATCGCGGTTCATCGCATGGCGAAAGGAATCACACCAATGTCAATATTAATAATAACAATGTCACTGTGTTCACGCCGACGACGCCGGCACCACTTGAACGAATCTTCAATGCGCATTTGATGCGCTCGCCACAACTGATGACGAACTACCAGATGCGTCAGGGTCCGAATGCTGGTCAGGATGCGGCGGAACAGCGTCTGCCTTACGAACTGTACGATCTCTATGGTGGTGGTCTGAGATTCGCGAATAATGTTGGCAGTCTTGGTGGTGCGTCTAGTGGCGTCTCTAGTCTTGGTGGTCTTGGTGCTTTTGGTGGTCTAGGCGGTGCTGGTGTGCCCCTGGTTCCCGTCACACTGAACAACAATGCTGTCGGCTATGTGCCACTGAATCTGCGCATGTTCCGACATCTACAGCAAGCAGCACTGCCAATCCGCGAGGGCGAAGATGATCCAACTGCTCTGTCAGGCTCTGCCGATGAGACTCTCCAGACGCAGCTGGAGCAGGAGCCAGAGTCAGTGTCCAATGATGTCGGCGAGGAAACTGCCGATAAACTAAAAAGCTCACGTTTCCCAATGTTTGGTCAGCGATGGAGCCAACGTCCCATCAACGATGGCCTCAGCATGATCCCCTTCACGAACAATCCCCTGATGGCATTTGCCAATAATATTCGCCGAACGCAGTATCTGTGAGCAGGTGACTACGATGTACACATATGCGAACAATGAGCCCTCCTGGATTTCGATTAACCTATCTTACTGTAGATCTTTATTTATTTTTATATCCAAATTTATTTATTTTTTTTTGTATTTTTCTTGTATTGTAACATGTAACTTATTTTTGCAGCAAATAAAACAGTGTAAAATCTGTATGCATATCGAGTATTGCTTAGAGCTCGGCATATACGATTTAGAACAAGAATGAAACAAAATCTAATTTATTATTTGTAATTTACAAGAAAGATAAATCCTGTAAAAATGACGAAAATCGAACACAGGAAAACGGATTTCTCATTTTGAAGGGGTTTTTCTTTTTGGCAATCCCAATATAAGTTAAACACGAATGTAATCGTTTCATGGAAATTTATTATTTGCCATTTATTATTCTTGTCTTATGCATTTGTGTATTTTACCTATATCCGAGAAAGGCAAATTGAAATAGTCGAAATTACCATTTTAACCACAATAGCAATAACCACAATCTGGCCGACAACAACAACAACAATAAGATCAAAGCAGTACAAATAAAGTGATTATTAGCTAAGCAGTTAAATATTAACTTAGGGGCTTCATTAAGGAATGCTTTTCACAATGTAGGCAAGCAGGCAGGCAGCATTAAAATCGTCATTATTAAGCATACGCCCCGTTATGTATTCCAGGAATCTGTGCACCAGCAACCTAATGCAATAATTCATTTTGCTCAACATTTTAAGAGGTCGATTCAATTAGCTTGCATAACTATTCAATCAGACAAGCATGCAAACAGCAGCCACAACAGCAACAACAATTTCAAGTTGAGCTAAATTGCATGTGGCGATTACTTACGGATGAGGGGGGCGATCGTTGGGATCTGAATATTGAAATATGCTTTGCGATTAGGATGAATGTTCAGATAAATGCAATGTTGCAGTCAATCAGAACGTTAGCCAAACAGACATTGAGTCAAATAGTCAGTTGGTTAGTTAGTCATCTGACAACTATTTCCAAAATGAGAGTAAATCAATTTAGAAAGCTGTCACAACAACAATTGAGCTATAGCTGGAATTGAATGGTTCACAAGGAACTCATAATATATATAAGTGTATACAATACACATGAGTGTGTGTGTGTGTGTGTGTGTGTGTGGGCTGGCAAGTCGATAAAAAAGCTTGCTAGAATCGAATTTACACAAGCCCATCAACGAGCCAAACCACAATAACAAATTAAATAAATATAAGAAGCTTTTAAGTTAATAGAAATTATTATAATTGGATTTTACCACAAACACAAAAACAACAACAAAAACAATTAGCTAAACAAATGACTACGCCCACATCCTCGATGGCAACTTCAAATGGCTCCCAGTCAAAGGCAAATAATATCAAATTCATAAATAATGAAATGAAATAAAGACATTCATAATAAAGGCTTTAAACTTAATCTATTTATGACTACGAAATAATGATTCTTAACGACTCAATTTATAATTTCAAATTTCCAATTTTTGAGTATAACATTTAACATTTTCTTTTTTTCTTAATGTTATATGAAATTTGGTATGCTAAACATAGCAGTTATTTCATTGCTGAGTAATATAATTAACAAATTCAAAATCAAATTTATAAAATACATTTCATTTCAAGCGGATCCAAGAATATTTAATTTATTATGTGATTTATGATTATCACATAAACATATTCATCATATTTATTATATATATTTAGTACTTGTTCCAATGACTCTTTACTAAAGATGTGGCTGATATTGGGATTTGTGAAGTGCAGTTGGGATTATTCTACTTACACTCTATAATCCTCTTGTTTCGTTGTGTTTTTAGGGGCTCGGGGCATTCGGGGGCAATACAAGGTCCTGCCGACTATTGACACAACACTTTGGGAAATTACAAGAAAACATTTTGACTTGGGCGCCAAAAGTATAAGTTGCACAAGCAGACACATATTTTCAGAAACAAAAACCGAAACAGAAACAGATTCAGAAACAGTTATACAGTGAGTGTGTGTGTGTGTGTATGTGTGTGTGTAATAGTCGTAGTACAATGTACTTGACTGTTGAAACTTGCAGCTCGCTGTCTGTCTGTCAGTCAGTGAGTCAGTCAGTAAGTCAGTCAGTCAGTCAGAGCGTGTGTGAGAGGGAAACGCTTAGTGTTTGGGTGAAGAAACACTTTTCAAGATTAAACCAAAAAGATTTAAGTGAATTATGTTAAAGTTATTTGCCTGTGCGGTCGACTCACGCACTGACACTATCTCTGCCCCATATGCGATACGATGTGATGCGAAGTGCAAAGGATATGGCCGCAAAAGTGGTCATGTAATATATAAATATGTGCATAAAAAAATATGCCACACATACAAACTGAAGATAGAGAGGCTGGCTGTGAAAACATAAATTCGTTTATTTATTTATACAACACGCTTGGGCTGTTGCCTTAGCCAGCCATAAGTATTGTATCTCTCAGATACACCAGTGTGTGTGTGTGTGTCTGTGTGTGTGCATAGTTGTTTGGCCTGCAACTTGATTTGCCAGTTTTTCGTTCGTGCCGCCTACCGAGATTTATGTGTGCATGTTTATTGTCGAGTTTATTAGATTTGATTTACTGTGCCTACAACTTTCACTAGTGGCTAAGATACTCCCTGCTTGTATGTGTGTGCGCGTGTGTGTGTGCAGAACTCATAGCTTGATTTACGTGCCCGACAGCCATGCCTGCAGCCCAGTCCAAAAGCTCTTCTAATGATACCATGTCAAGGCAGTCATTCATTCATTCATCGTCATGCACGCAAGCCCGCAATTAGATTTCGGGTGAAACTTTTTAATTGCATCCCGCGCCACATCTATAAAAGAACCGTTCCACTGCCCAACATTCGCACAGAACAATCACGATGAGAACAAACGCTCGAGCTAGAGCCGGAGCTAGAGCTGGAGCTGAAGCTGGAGCTGGAGCTGGAGCTGGAACTGGTGCAGCCATCATCCTGGTGCTGATTCTGCTGCAAGTGGCTGGCATAGAGGCCTTAAGAACGGGTGTGCAAGAAACATAGCTGCTACTCATTATGTACGTACTACTACTATTAATTCAACCCCATCGTGTTTTTATTATGTGCAGGGTTTCGTCTGCCAAAAAACATGGGTCGAAATGCTGCTGCTGCTGCTGCTACTGCTCCCGCTGCCGCTGCTGAGCACGGCAATGGGCGAGATCTGTTCAAGAAATTTATGTTGTGGCGTAACCTGTTCCCCACTGAGCCGGCACGTGACAATATCATTGTAGTGACACAACCCACGTATACCACCCTCACGCCCACCGGCACACCGACAACAACAACAACAACAACGACCGCCAACAATGACGCCAATTTGCGAAGCTGGCGCAATCTGGAGGATGAAGACGCACAGAATCGCATTTCCCAACGCACCTCGCACCGCATCCGGCCAAACACCAAGACTCGATCGTATGGTCAGCGACGCAGGCCGCAGCTGAAGAAGAAGAAGAAGACGCGGCATCGTCACATACACAAGCGACCGCAACAGCACCGATATAAGCATCGTTAACAGCGTTAACGAGAAGCTGCTCAGCTAAAAGAGCGACCAGAACGCAACTGAAACGGGCCAAAAGCAGTCGTCAAAACGCTCAACAAAAACCATTTTTTTTTTTTTGCTACTTTTATATTTATTTGTTTTCTTCTTTTTTTTTGAGTGAGTTGCCCAACTAATTATGAAACGCAAGTGTATGAATTGAAAATAAAAAATGAAAAATAAAAAATTAGTACAAACTACCAATGAGTTAAAATCTAATAGACAAGCAAACAGAATAGAAATTTGTGGCCAGCACAAGTAAGCAGCAAAGCGAGACGGGGAAGAACTCCAGCGAAATGTGAAATTCAATATTTCTCTTGTATTCATAAAAAAAAATAATTACAACATTTTTGCCATATGTATAAAATTATACATTTAATTTGATTTATTCAATTTAGTTGAATTTATTTATTCATTATTATTTTTTTTTTTGTTATGTAAAAAGGAAGTGCCTGACTTAAATATGAATGGAAATTGAATACATAAGTTGGAAAAATTATTCATCAAACCAAATTCAAAATTTACATAAATAAGTATATCAAAACTCAAATATTGAAATATTTAAGTTACATGCAAATTAAGTTGATTTGTTTTCTCGTCCAGTCTACAGCTGCTAAAAAAAGCGTATAAATAACATAAATATTTAGCTGGATTGTATTGTATGTAACCTTTTTTATCATCATTTTTATTCAGACATTATCTTAAAGTTGTGTCCTGACTGCAAATGGAAAGCTTTTTCAAAGCTGATAGTATATTTATACGTGAAATTAATTACAAATTCAGTATTTCCAAAATGGATAAAAAATATCATTTGCATTTACAATAAATGGGCTATACGTAATTCGACTGAAACCAAATGTATATATACATAAATATCATATGAATATATAATAATTAATAGTGAAGTGATCAGAATTATTTCCAATGTAAGCTAAAAATGTTCCACAAATCGGAAAATTGTAGTAAAGTTAATTGGCACAACTGATTTAATGAGTTGAGAAAATAATTATGCCACGATAAATGGCTTGCAATGTTTGTGTAGCTATACAAAATGTAGTCAATTTCCCTGGATTTCATTAGTTCGGTTTTTACGCGAAAAGTGCGTGCTGTGTTCAAGGCATAAGAGAAGCGATTTTAAAATCTGATTGCCATCTCAGCCGCGACATTCTCAAGGCGGTCTTAAATTTGATTTTAATTCGTGGGCATAACTCATGGCTAACTTCGTGCTCATCGTTCAGATGGCAGTGAACCCAACGACTGCCATGTTGCACGTACTCACACGTATACACACACACACACACACATGTAACAAAATAGCAGCCGCCAAATCCTTTCCATTTGAAAACAACTGATAACCTATTCCGGACAAGGCTGGTCGGGCGTCTATGCCGCAGCCATCGCCGTGGCCTTAGACACAGCCGGTGTCCAGGTAGAAGTCAACGACTTGGTTTACAGTTTATATAAATAAAATGCAGACAAAATATGCGAGCATAACATCGTGGCTGTGGCAAGTTCAAGGATGTCTGGCACTCGTGAACCCGTAACTGTAACCGTAACCGTAAACGCTAACGCAAACGTAAGCACAAAACACACACAACATACAACATACAACACACAACACACAACACACAAACGCAAACGGAACGCCTTGAGAAACTGGCCCAGGCACGCAAAAGGTTGCGTTTTTGCCGCTTATTCAATAAGGCCGAAACAGAATTTGTGTAAATTGGCAAATTACGCATAAATGGCGAGACGCCAACAACAGTCGCTAGAGAATTCAAGCCGACTTCTGTGTGCTATTCGTCTTGTTGCTGCTGTTGTTGTCTCATACTCTGTTTGGGTTTAGTGATTTTTTCTTTGTTTCATTTTGGGCCTGTCATGGGCAAAAAATTAATGTTGCCCAGAACAGATCAGAGTCGCGACGGAGCAATAAAGCGTTGCCCAATGTCAAACTGGTTTCATTCGATTGCCCCAATCGCAAAGCGCAAAACGCAAAGCGCAAAACGCAATACGCAAAACTGTCGCGCCATTGAGGTCAAGAACAGCAAAGGTCAAGAAATCACAGCTGGCGATTTGGCCATGTATATATATAAAAATAAGCAGTTAAGATAACAAAGAAGAAGAACTCTTGGGCGTAGATCCACAGTCAACCGATCACTTATGGCTCCGGTTCAGCGCAGAGATCGCGAACTACGATTGCAAAAAATGCTCTGTTTTAAGTAAAACAGATCGATCCCAACCATCGCGAAAACACAAAACCCTCTTAAGATCATCACTTATGAAGACAAATGCTCAAAGATCAGTGATCTTCAGGTGAATAATGGGCAAATGATTTACTACTTATGTTCTGAAAATCAATAATGTTTACCCGACTCAACTATTATTTTTTGTGACTATAATTTGAACATGAATTTCAAGGTGAAATCGTAATCATGCCAGACCAATCTCAGAGACTATAAATACTACATACTTTAAGTATGGGCTATAAGTTTTCGTACCTTATATCGTATCGTACCTTATATTTTATATATTTATCGATAACTGCCCACGTTTTGTGAATATCAATTCAAATCGAACAAAAGCAATTAAAGACACAATTGTATACGTATACTCTTCTGGTTTATACATATACACCTTGGCATAGGATTGAGCAACTGTAATATTTAAAATCGGGTGAAAACGCAGACTTTGTTAACCAATATGTATTTTCATATTGAACAAACTACTATCGGCAGGCCTACTATGTATTGAAGTTCAGGATTCAGCGTAGCTCCTAGTCGAACTCTATCGAATGAATTTTAAGTGGGCATCGTGTTGCTACACTTAAGCGTAATAATATTCCAGAAGGCAAACCAAGACCCAAAGGGAATTGCTTGTGAAAATCGTTGGAGCTATGATAAACTTATGACAGTTTAGAGTGCATTTCTGGGGCAATATGTTAGAAGTAACACAGCTCAAAATTCTATTAAAAGGAGGAGATTCCACAAATTTGTTTCCACATATTTTATGATATTAATTTTATGAATACTTGCAGAGTTGATCTGAAACCCTATCACCTACACAGTTTGCAACATTTTTGAAACTTTACCTTTTGTGTTGGCATCAAGTGCTTGTTGCTCCTCCACTTCTAGTTAAGCTGATAACCCCACTTCCCCCCCCCCCCCCTCACACACACACACACACACACACAATCAAGCCAATGGCCCACACAACTTAATCTTCGAAGAGGGCGCCATTGATTCGTAGATTCACCTTGACTTAACTTGACTGGCAGGCATCGCCATCGCCATCGCCATCGCCATCGGCATTGTCATGGCCAGCTTAAATGTTATTGTCCTGCTATTGTTATGCACACACTCACACCTTCAGACACACACAGACACACATACACTCGCGGCGAAATCAATATGTCGAGCCATCGTTTCGAGCTGGCTTCCTGCAATATTTTGTGCTATTTTTGGACGCTTGCCGGTTTCTGTGGTAAAACTGGCAAAAGGATATTGAAAAAGGCGCCTCTTGCAACACGACGGCGTAGGAAACTTTTTTCATTTTTAGTTTGTCAAGTTGCACAAAGGCGATGACGACGACGATGGAGACGCGCAAAAAGCTGCCGATTATAAGTTTTTTATAAAAGTTGTTCTTTTTTTTTATTTGGCCACAGCAAGAGTTGCAGACTGAAGGCTCCTGGGAAATTGGGGGAGGGGATGGGGGGGTTTGAACAGAGCGGTAAAGTGTGTGCTCAGAGCTGCCAGCAAAAGGACAACTCAACATTTATAGGCTGGCAGCGAACTAGTGCCAGGCCAAAGTTCCTGCCGCACACTGAAGTTGGCCCCTGTGCAAGTGCAACTTTAGTTTTCGGTGCTTTTGCTTAAGCGTGTTATGCCTGCTTTTGGGGGCTGGCATGTTAATCGGTTCAGCAGCTGCAGCGGCAGCGCCACCTAGCGCCCAATGGCGTCAACAGAATCGGCGACGTTCCGACACGAAACTCAATTTAAATTACACCCACACCCACACCCACACTCAACAACCACAACAACAGGTCGTATGCGTAATAAATTGTAAATGCCACATTGAACGCATCGATGCATCAAGCTGTGGGCGTTTCAACATTTAGTCGAAATGGTATATAAAATACTCTCATGCATATATCATCCATATGTTTGTTTATGTGTGTCGTATTATAAATTATGCATAACCTGAAATGGGCTGGGAGGCGAATTTGTTATCCTTACAATATAAAAGCAATTGCATAATTGCATTCTAATATGATGACTACAGCACTTTCTCAGTTAAAGCAACAGCCCCAGCCGATGTGTTAATGCCCTCTCAAAAGTTGAGGGTGGCTTAAAAATAGATAACAAGAAAATATAATCGACAGTTTCCAAAGTACACTCAAATCGTATTGAGAGTGTTGGAGACATTTAAAATAAATGTTGGAGAAAGTAGTCACGCAATAAATATGAAATAGTAAATTTTACGTCTGTTCTATATATTAAATATATATATAATACATATATAATTATATTTATGTATTATATTATTATAAGGGTACTTATCTACTTAATACCATTTAAGACATGAATGCATAGCTCGTAATCAATGTAACGAGCAACACTGCCGGCTAAAAGTGTATGGCCTCCAATAGTTTTGCATAAATTGCATGCGTTTTAATTAAATGCCAACGAAGAGAGACAAATGCTGTTGCTGCAACTAACAGACTTACTCTCTATCTGTCCGTCTGTCTGTCTGTCTGTCTGTCCGTCTGTTCCAGTGCCTTTGTGTGCCTGCGTCTGGCTGTGTTAAGCTGGAAGCTTTATAAATGTATAGAGCAATTATTTATTATGCCCAGGCACTTTTGATTACGCATTCGGACACAGACACACACACACACACACACACAGATACACACACACATGAATACTTATAGCCAAATTGCTTGCAGGTGTAAGTATGACAAAAGGCAACAAAAACAATTG